TATAATTCCCGGCTGTAATTGGATCAGGACAACGCACTGTAACTGAAAGTCGCGACAATAAACAACACTATTCCAACAGTTTATTTAATTTTTTTTTTTTTAAGGAATCTAACAGCTGGGATCGGCGCGACAATATTCGGGACTCAAACTCATTTCTTTTCGCAGACGTATAGATGGGCTACTAGCAAAATATCTCTCGATAAAAGCGTGTACGTGTGCTACGGAGCGACGTTAATTGATCACGTACAAGCTATCCTCTCCGGTAGTGAGTGTCAAATTTACCTCACGCAGTGATGCGACAAACATCCTCACCTTCCCTCGGTGGTTTCAATCATGCAAACAATCAGATTGATTGCGTGGCTCGTTAAAATATCTACCAATCAGAGCCCGAGGGTCAGATCTTGACCTAAATTCCAGCATGGAAGTGAGATGCATAGCCACTGCGCCCAGAGGTTTCCTTCTCGTCGCTCTGCGACTCGCTTCCACCGCTTCGCGGCTTGTTTTCGCCGCTTCGCGGCTCAAGATTAAAAGAAAAGAAAGAAAACCTCTGGGCCCAGGGTAAGTAACGGCGAGTGACGATTTCAATTGCAGGAGCGGGCACACTTGGCGATTGCTGGCGATTTTTATCGTCGATATCTGACATGCCAGATATCGGCGACTTTGATCGCTGGTCGCGGTGATCAAAATCGCTAGCGAAATTCGCCGTCGCAGAAGCGGGCACACTTGGCGATTTTCACTGATTGCCATGACGAGCGTATAAAATCGCCTAGTGTGTCGGGGGCTTTAGTCAATATTATATTGGCAATTAATTACACTGGCAGTACATCAAACACACCGGGGCATCTGTAGCATATCCATGTCTTGTATATTGTGAATTAAGGACTGCAACTCTACAACCAAAACAAAAACAACTATTTACATGTAATCAAATAATGTTCACTTCCAATAAATGTGCCTTAGAAGTACGATCAGATCATTTAATACTGATAGTATTTTTGTACCAGGCAGTTTCAGCATTATGCACCTATCAATGTTAAGCCCAGGGTGGGGAGGGGGGGGGGGGAAACCCAGGGGAACTGTCGTCGAAGACTGTTACCTGGGTCTGGATTTTGACAATTTACGTGCTCCCCGGGTAAGGGAATTTGACACAGCCGCCATCTTGGAAAATTGAAGAGAGCCTGGGCTTAACACAATGATAGCTGCATTATAAGTTATACAGGTAATAAGGTGTAAAGACACATAGAAGTACCGACCGCGATTAAATACGTTACAACTGAATAGCGTGACTGAATACCAGACATTCCACAATTTACACACTGCAAATTTATACAAGTAATAATATTGCATTTATTTTCGAAAACGTGTTGCACTTCTGACTAAAAATTCAGTTAAAAATACTGTTTTCATTCAGACAATTGAGAATTGGACAAGGTATAAAAAAAGATGACGTGAACATCCCGACGATCGCGTGTCGGTCATGTTACAATTTTGTTGTCACTTCTGATCAATAATTCGATTCACCAAGACTTCCATACATATCGAATTAAACGCTTATTGCAAAAAATATTAAGCCCAAAAACAGTTGTTTAAATTATCAACTAGCAACTATCTCAATACTATGGTATGGAACAAATATTAATTGCGATCACGAACTTTGATCGCTTTTGTACATGAATTGAATTGAACGATTTAATTAGATAATAAGTTATCTGTATATTAAACTAGTTTAGAACACTTTTAGTCCTTAAGACCGTCTAAACATCTCTGAATTAAACCGAAATATTTGAAAATAAATGTGCTGTTATACATTAAAATGAGAATTTACCTTCTAATTCTAGAATGAAAACTGAGATCAGCTAACTAATTAAACGAACAACGTGCAACTCCTTTCCGCTTACCGATTCACGTTCAAACAGTTCGTAAAACTTTGGCCGAACCTTCCTTTAGGTAAGTAGGCAAGACTCTGCGACAACCTAAGACATCCACAACGCAGCATTCTGTCAGAATTCCCGGCAAAGAGTCGTTCTTGCCTCTTTATTAGCGTGTTCGAAACTGAACTTCACAAATTATTGTCACGTAACAAACAGTTGAGCGGCTGCTAAGCCGTTCAAAGTCCAAAATGGCGATCATTTGTTTGGCGCGCGGGAACAACCTCGTTCCCAGGGTCTCTCTTCTTCCCGCCAAACGCGATTCAATCGATTCATCCCGTTTGGGGAAGAAGAGAGACCTGGGAACGAGGTTGGCGCGGGAATCGCGATAATATGCTCGATTTTTTTTCTACGTCTAAAGTTATTATGTAAAAAGTTGAAGTGAAGTCATGTAATTTAAGAAATATATCGACAAAAAAAAGGGATAGAAGAAAGTTTTCGCGCCACTGGCAATTTGGTGCCAGATTACTCAAAGTCTTTAGGCTCCTGGCAAGTTCACCGCTGACCATTGAGTCACGGTTCGAGGAATCGTCGACGGAATCGTCAAAATCGTCGGCGAAAATTGATGAAAAATATCGATTAAAACAGGAGCCCATCATAAAGTCGCATAACTTATAATACGAAAATATATCAAACCAGCCAATTTATGATAAAACGCTTTCAGGCAATATAAATATATATTTTTTTCAGATTTCAGCCGTACGCCCGTGCGTACGTGCGTATATGGTAGCTATGCCCCTGTACTAGGACTAGACACAAATATCCGGATATTTTTTTAGATATTTAGAAGTTTCACGGATATTAAGAAAAATTCAAGATATTTAGGAAAAAAAATGATATTTTGGGTGATATTTGTGTCTAGGCTAACCTGAGTATCAGGCAAATGTTTCCGCGCTCTCAGTTTTAAGAGAATGTAAGGAGCGCGAAAAATTGGCCTGATCGCAGGTTATGTCTAGGCCTACAGGCTACTTATCCAATGTCCGTCAACCGGAAGCCGACAAACTGTTCCCTCAGTAGGCGGGTCGCGGTTAGAAGGATGACTCAAAAGGTCCTCATTAAATATTCATAACACTGATGCAGCTGATGACCGACGACGTTTCCGGAGAATGTTCGGCATTTTCAATATGGCGTCCTGATGTTGTGGTCATCGTGAAAGATCGTGAACGATCTCTTCTTTCACATTTATTTTGTTCTTAAGCTAGCCGTGGGTTTTGGGGTTTCCACTGACTTTATGCCCATCCCGTCTGACATGAGTGAAAATTGGACTTCCTGTTTTCAGTCCCTGACTTATCCAGGAGCACCCAACGACAACATTTCCTGTAGGTGTCAGAACGTCGTTTTTACGTTATAACTGTGCTTTTTGTGCAGTTTAATGGCTTATTTTTAAACGCTAAGAAAAATGTATCTGTTCGGATACGTTAGCTGAACTTTCAAACTACAGAAAATTTTAGGGATTGAAATCTTATTACCCGAATTTATGAGGTGAATTTTCCTTTCCGAAAATCCTAGCTGACCGTTTTTTGTACCCAAAACGACATTTTTATCTCTCCGAAAACAAAAGGCATTAATTTTCCCATATTACATGTATTACGAAAGTTCGAGATGACATTTCCCTAACCGAATATCCGAGGCGATAATAGGCCTTTCGAACAGATATTTCACCGAAATGATCCGTTGGGTGCCCCTGACTTATCCACGTCATGTTATGAAAGGTGATGGGGGTGATCGGCGCTCCCTTTACGGGTTGAAATTCGTAGCGTCGTAACGCTCAGGATATTTAAATCGAAAATGACCACCGTTACAGTTATCCCGATAGTGTCAGAGGCTGGAACAGGAGAGACCGGGCGGGAAACATAATCTGGACACGTTAGAATTGATACCCTGGTGAAAATGAACTCGAGCCACGGGCTCTATTCGAATTTCAGACGATCTTTCCCGTCACTCTGACATGGAAGCCCCAGGGAGCCTACTCTCCAATTGGGGGATGATCGGATGGGGGGAGGGAGGGAGTGGCGTTGTCCCCTTCCCTTGTCTATCATGCGAAGTTTAATTTTGCGAGTTGCAACCCCCCGGGGGGGGGGGGGGGGGCTCCTATATAAAAGGTGTCAGAGGTGGTCGTCGGAAATTTTGAAAAGAACCCTAAAAGGTACCAGAATCTCGTTTTGTGGGCGTGGCTCCAATTCATTTTCACCAAGAGGTACCAATTCTATGACAAAACTAGTTCTTGTCATAATTGTTTTCCCGCCCAAGGTACCGGAATAACTCTAACGGTAGTCATTTTAGATTTAACACCCCTAAGCGGTACCAAAACCACGAATTTTAACCCATAAAAGGTAGTTACGACGATCACCCCGCCACTTTTATATCGGGGGGGGGGGGGGGGGGGGGGTTGTGACTTTTGCGATTGACAGAGCTGGACTGGTTTTTCGTGCTTGGAATTGTGTCCCATGCTGTTGCGATCATTCTCGGTCGTACAACGCCACACTGAAGTATAATATATTGTTTTCATTTGATGCTAAATAATCCAAATACAGGTAAAACAACCTAACCGCGTAGATATGTTTATATACAGTCTGATACAGTCAAACTCTCACTTAATTATAACGGAATGGACACCACCTCTATAAGTTTCTATTAAACGGACACCTGACCGATGTTGGTCCCTGCAGTGCGCCGATTTCCAGTAATTTCAACTGCATCACCCGGCCGACCAAACTCTCTATAAACCAGACACCTAGACGAACAGTTGGTGCCTATCCCGAGTTGTAGGCAGTGTATTAGCTGGTTTAAACTGGTTGATTGCTCTGATTACTGGTAAAAGCAACGTAACAACGCGCGTACGCGCGACAACACTGCAACACTCAGTTATGAACATTCTAATACTGTACAATTGCAATTTCCTATAAAAGGTGGAGTAAATTTTTGCGGGAATATTTTTTTGGCGCGAACGTTTTTCTTGCGGATCGTGAAAAATACCACAAAACTGATTAGAACCCACATTTCAAGAGAAAGGCGTAAATAAATAGTTTTGGCTTTCGACCGATACGTCTCTGAAAATGAAAGAAAAATTCGTGTACCGAGCAGGATTCGAACGGGCGTCTCCCAGACACTAGTCGGGCATGATAACCACTACACCATGGCCACCGGGCCAACCACGCTGGATATGTGGCCACTTTAGCGATGTTACTAGACTATCTAACGCGGTCAACCCAGGGACATTTTTCTTTCGAGACATTTGTGTGTATCATGCATATGGCTTCTATACCCATAAACCCACATTTCGTTTTCTTTGTTCTGACCCGAACGCAAAGCTTCAAGGCATGCAGCCGGCATTGTAGACTGCAAAACAGTCGGGTTTTTTTTCTTTAAATCGCTGGTCGCAAGGCACGAAGGGCCGAAAGCGTGGATCCTCACAGGCGAAGCGCGCGAGCCTCACACGCCCGTTCCACTGACTCTCCGTTTTCACACTCGCTCCAGACCTTTCGTTCAAAGACCGCGCGCTTTTGTTTGACAGACCAACGCAAAAAATACGACTGTTTTGCAGTCTACCGGCATTGTCGTGCTGTTCGATTCCGTAAACAACTGTTACTCTTGTAAACACTTCAACGGGAGAAAAATATCCAAAGAAATGAACGCGTCAAACTCGATAAGGAAGTACGTCACTGCTTAATAAATAGAGGATATTACACGGCGGCGCGAATATATGAATTTTATTTTCGAGTGGTAACAGAACAATATTTTACGAATGAGCGCAGCGAATGAGTAAAATATTGTTTTTAATACGAGAAAATAAAATTAATATCTTAAAGCCACCGTGTTATTTTATTTTTATTACATAGACAGACAACAAAGCACAAACTTTATCACGAACTCCGGCTTGCAGCTCGATGACTGGACTTCCTTGAATTTCTCTCCTTTCGTCTTTAAGCCATGTGACGTTTTCTTCTTCGTGTTAACATTTCCTACTCCTCAGTGAACGATTCATGCCGGCTTCTGTGAATTCACGAATCTATCGCTCGCCATTTTTCAACCGGCGTTTGGCAGCTTGCACAAACAACCGTGCAAAAGCGGGAAATGACGTCATCGATATCCTCACTATGAGGATCGAGGATATGGAAAACACGCCACTCGGGTCCCGGATGTAGTTTCGTATGAATTTTACGAGTGGTCTATTTTCCAGTAAAACACTCGTGTCTATATAATAAAACTTGATAAGACACCATCTCCAGGTGCGAATCAACTTCCGTAAACAATTTTTGAATGGAAGAACTTGGCATCGAAATTATATTCGTTCGGGTATTTTAACAGTTTCAAACTGAAACAATTTCGGCCAAAGTTTCCGTTACAGTGATCAATTAGTACCAAATTTATTGGGGATGGAATCGTGTAGTGTCTGATATAGTATGTAATTTCTTAAATTAAAGCAACATCAGTTTTGTTTGCAAGGGAAGGTCATCCAATCCGAATCTTGACGGTCGTCTTTCGTTATAGCTCTACCGTCATGTCTACTAACAGGTTTTTTAAACTGAAGTAACATTGAAATGCAGCCTGAAACAAACTATGAGCCCCTGGAAGGGGGTGGTGAGGGATTCTCTATGTTATACGTCTACGTTTCAAAGAATACCTAAAGTGCCTATAAACAGGAAGTAGTTGTCAAGAAATATCCGTTTTGTATAGGATCGCGCCACTGTTGCTTATCACTCATAAACAACATAGTATAAATGGCACCTCTGAAATGAGTTTAAGCAATTACAACGCCCCTTAAAATGGATTCTGGTACAGGCTTCTTAGGAGGAAAATAAGTGTTTTCTTTGTCAGCCTATCAGGCCCCAAATTTCCCGACGAGCATTCCCAATTCCCGTCACTTTTATATTGGATTACCTCCTTCCACGCTCCAACTCGCCAGGCCTACGCCAAAGACAAAGGAATCTTCGAGAACCTACGCGATCAATCTTTGACCGATGACGCCACATATAAATGTTTGCAACTTTTATTCTTTAAACCTTAGTAGTGTTAAAGATAAACGGCGTGTTTAAGCGTCCCAATGCCGCTGTTGCCAATACGCGCTCAGTATTGATGGAATGTCAGTGTGGTTACCTTGCCCTTTGAATTCAAAGATCTTGCTAGATATATATTAACAACAACACAGTTAATATTCTCAGTTAAGTTATAACCCGGCCGAAGTTTGGCGCCTGCGGCACTCTTTGACAATTACTAAATAATTCGATCAATTTGCAGATCCCTTGACATACAAAGCACGGAAGACCACGGAATGATATCCACAGAATGATACAAAACCAACCAACAGTGGATGCGGTGAGTTTTCAATTGGTTATGGCTTTAAAACTAACATCTTAACAAGCTTGCAGTCTCTCGAATACCAGTGGCATGATCGATGATATCGCTTGTATTGATCATGTTTACCTAATAGTTATTGATGGTCATTTATGTCACTTATTCACAGATCATCTCTGATGCATGTCATTGTAGCGAGTTTCGCCCATAGAGCAAGAACTAGCGACACACGTTCACAAACCGGTTAAACTCCCACGCATGAAGGCACCTTTAAACCAGGTTTAAGTAGAAGCACTAGGTATGTATTAGTTATATTTTCATTTCTATGCATGCATCGCACTCAATGGGTTACAATCCCCTCCCCGCCCGACAATCCCTTATCCAGTCCGGTTCGATTGCGATCACTGTTTTTCAGGGTCTCTAAGATTCTTTGTTAGAAATATTTCGCGATTATGATAGTAACTGAACAGACCAATGAAACAGACGTGTTCTTGGACAAAGTTAAAAAAAAAATCAAGCTTCGAGATTCTTAGCTTAGCTACAGGCGACCTAAGCTCACATTGTCGGTGAGTTTTATTGTGAAATGAATAGCTTACTTAGACACGGGAATGCAACAAATTGTTATTTTATGTAAAACTAACTTATAAGTAGATCCTAGTGCTAGGATCAATCTCTCAGCATGTAAACGGCCGATTCTCAGAGAAGCCGCAGTTTCAGTCATGCATGTGACATTTCCACGACACTTTTAATCTTCAACGAAGAAGCGAATTTGCTGCTGCATGTACCGGCGGATCCGTTGCGTCGCAATGTGCGAGGACAACGATCCTCTTCGTGAGGAATAGAAGTTATTAGTGTAGTCAGTGTACTAGCGCTCAACGAGTAATCCGCAAGTCTTCAGAAAAAAAAAATGCTGTGGAACTTAACTTCAAGGGGAACATTTTTGATTAAAATTTAACTGAATAAGCCTTCGAATCAGTATACAGTAGACTCCCGCTAGACTCGAACTCGGTTATCTCGAAAACCCCTCTATCTCGAACTCAAACCAATTCCCCTTGCCCTTGTTTTTCAGTTATTTACTATCGGCTATCTCGAACGGCTCCTCCGCTATCTCGAACTGTTTTTCGTTCCCCTTGAGAGTTCGAGATAGCGGGAGTCTACTGTATTACTTCCGACATTGGAAACGAATTACTGATCTTTTAGCGCCCACGGACTCCGCCTGATTCCAGTCGATTTTCCATTCCTTGGTTTGCACCAAAAAAGTACGGGTATACCGTTTCGCCTCTAAAATGTATGGGTTGTCTGCTAGATAAATCATGCGTTTTAATGTCCAAATTTGAATTTGATACAAAAAAAAAGCCTGTTAAGACGGAATTGGAATCGATGCACCCTTGTTTTCGCACATAAAACCAACTGTGAATATAAAGGGATGCTTCCGAAAGAACTTATAAGTAAGCTTCCGTTCACGTTTTAACTACATGTTTAACCGTTTTATAAAGTCGTTAACTCTCTCTCGACCCCTTACATGTTAATAACTTTGATCATCTGAAATGGGTCTCGCAGTCTCGTACGTTTTTTGAGCGGTTATGTATGTCTCACAGTCTCGATCTCGATTTTTTGCAAAGCCGTTTGGAGTCCCGATCTTGGTCTCGCAATCTAACAACTCAAAAAGTCTCGGTCTCGCAGAGAAACATGCTAGTCTCGCCGTCTCGCAAAGTCTCGAATTTACAATTCGCCACCCCTAGTAGACAACTGCTAGGATCCAGGCAGCTACTTTTATGCTAGACTGATTCTAGTGTCAAGATAATCCAGTTCAGCGCTAGGATCAAACATAACCATTCACATGTAAACAGAACTGAGCCGAATATTAGATAGAGATAGGTTGTGATTCCAGTCGAAACAGGTTTATATCATGAGAAAAGTATTATTCAGTCAGTGACACAAGCTACTCGGAAACAAATTCCGAGTTCCCCCAACAGGAGTCGAACCTATGACATGCTATGACCTTCTGTACACCGGTCGGAAACTTTACTCTGATTTACCACTGAGCTACAGGAGACTCGTGGGAGGTTAGGTCAATGACTAGGCTCAAATGTACATGTGACATACATCCCGTATACTGCTAGGATGATTAGATTTGTCGATGAGTAAGAATATATGGAAATAAATGATGGTATATTGTTAAGCTTGGTAGAAATGCAATAGCTTTAAATCTGCGATAAAAAGAAAGGAGCGGAGAGAGAGAGGAAAATCAATAGTAAATGATATTCATTTGTGCACGCATATGTGACAGACTATTGAAAGAGGCTAGGTATTAAATATTTTAATATTAGATGAAATGGTTTATAACTCGTACAGTAAAAAGCTACTTCTTTATAGTGCCAATTTGGAAGACTAAAAACACAATTGCGAGGTCCATAGTCTAAAATACGAGTTCAGATGATTAATTCAAGTTGTCCTAAATTTAGAGAAATTAGATTGTGTGCACAGAAATACAATTATCAGATTTTCAAATCTACCACAAACCCACTTCAGGTTCTACCACAAGAAAGAACAAGCGCCTAATTTGTCAAATAACTGTCTGCGAACCAAACACAACATTATATCAAAAGCCCCGAACCACATAGCTATTGTATTAGACAACATTTCTATTTTGGACATCGATCGTGTGAATCTCACAAAATATATATTTATTGTATCGTGGCATCAACTACGGATAAGAACATAAACCTTAATTATACAGTAATGAATCCCACGTACAAGAAACTGTGGGTTAAGAACCTGCAGGCTGGAATTGGGAAATTCAACCCCGAATATATAAGAACCACTTCAGCCTGACAAATGAAGCAGGTTCTTATTAACTTGGAAAAATTATTAAAACTCAGAAAACACAGGCTTAAGCCTGGTTTCCATATGACCGCAACGATCGCAAATCATATGGAAACCAGGCTTTAGACCAAAATGAGGTCCATAAACTGCCCAATCACAGACATAGGACATATGGGTTATTATTGTTGTGTGATTTATCGACGAGCATCAAGAAAGCAACACGACGCCATTCATTCATGAACTCAAGTGATTTTACTCAAAGCCACGTGACCAGGTACAAAGTACAAACTATGACAATTTCAACATCACAACATCTCCCCCTTGAAACTACAGGGGGTAACCAAAACTACTAAACATGAAGGTAATAAAGTTCGGTTTAACTTTAATATAACATAAGCTTTGTAAACTTAAAGATCGGACTGTTCAGTTCATGAATTTATCTCGCACAGTCACAAGTCCAATCTACTGGGAGCCCTGACCACTCGCCCAGATCTCGCTGAGGTTGTATCAGCTGTACTGGCAGCTGCTGGAACATCCAACTCGATTGCCTCTGGAACTTGCCGAGTTGCCATCCCATTTGATTGCGGGTACTTTGGACTGCTTGTTACACTTGCAAATCCCCTTTCTTTTGCAAACTTGATGAATTCAGTTGAGCTATACTGAGTACCATTGTCAGATCTGACAGAGTCTGGGATTCCATGTCTCGCAAACATAGATTTCAGTGCCTGAATGATATCTTGCGAAGTCTGAGATGATGAAAGCAAGGCCACCTCAATGTATCAGCTGACGTAATCCACGACAAGCAAATAGCTGCGGCCCTTTTACTGAAGCAGATCCGTTCCAATGATCTGCCATGGCCTGTCTGGAACCACTGAGGGAATAAGGGGTTCAGCTCGGAAAGATCGGTGTTCTGCACATTTGCGGCATCCCTGAACCATATCCTCAATCTGCCTACTAAGGCCTGGCCACCACACAGACATCTTGGCACGGCTGCGACATTTTGTGATGCCCTGATGACCTTCATGCAAACGATCGAGAATCTCTATCCTCATGCAGGACGGTATGATGACTCTGGAAGCCTTCAGAAGTAATCCACGAACTAAGGTAATTTCTCCTCTCTCATTCCAGTACCCTTTCAGTGCCTCCGGAACTCTATCTTTTTCTGGCCAGCCTATTTGGCAGTAGACTGCAAGTTGTCGGCACACTTCATCCTCTTCTTAGCGCTCCCTTATCTCTTCCAGTCGTCTGTCACTGGCTGGAATTTCACTCAGAACACTGTGTGCATACAGGGCTATTTCTTCTTCTTGTAAGCCCCACTGCTGCCCTTGGTTTATCGGAGTTCTTGAGAGAGTATCTGCTGTCGTCAAACTCTTGCCTGGAACACGCGATATGGAATACTGGAATCTGAGCAGCCTCATTCGTAGACGCTGAATTATTGGTGGCATCTCATTTAAGGTCTTTGACCCCAGGAGAGGAACTAAAGGCTTGTGATCAGTTTCAATATGAAATGGCTTACCGATTAGGTAGTCCGATAACCTTTCGCATGCCCAGATCACTGCCAGGGCTTCTTTCTCAACTTAGGCGTACCTCTGTTCTGTTGGAGTCGATGCCCTGGATATGAATGCAACAGGTTTCCAACCGCCATCCTCTTGGGCTTTGGTGAGAATCACTCCAAGACCAAAGGAGGAAGCATCCGATGATACCTTTGTCTCTTTGGCTGGATCATAGATGGCTAGTGTTGGCGCAGAGACTAGTGCCTTCTTTACGTCATTGAATGCTTTCTGCTGAGCCTCAGTCCAGAGCCATGCATTGTTCTTACTCAGAAGATCTCTCAGTGGCTTCGTAATGTCTGCCAGGTTGGAATGTACTTCCCTACTTGATTGACCATGCCAAGGAACCGCCTCAATTGTGCAACGTCAGTTGGTTCCCCAATCTGTGCGACAGCTTCCACCTTAGTGGAGTCCATTTGCACTCCATCATTGCCTATCACGTGTCCCAGAAATTCCACTTTATCTGTTGAGAACTTGCACTTCTCCAGGTTAAGGGTAACATTAGCATCTGCTAACCTCTCCAGTGCTGCAATCAACCTCTTATCGTGCTGCTCTTGGGTCTCTCCAAATGCAAAGATGTCATCAACTTGACACTCCACCCCATCCAAACCTTCTAGGATCCTCTGCATTACTTTCTGGAAGTGCTCGGGTGCCGAAGAAATACCGAAGGGTAATCTTGTGAAACAGTACCTGCCTCACAGTGTGACGAAAGTGGTAAACAACCTTGAATTCTCACTTAACTTCCTCTGCCAAAATCCACAATTTGCATCCAGCTTAGATATAATCTTAGCACCAGACAGTTTGGCTAGAGTTTGTTCAGTTGTTGGCATTTGGTGGACCTCTCTCTGAACAGCCTTATTTAACTGGACAAAGTCACCACAAATTCTGACACTGCCATTCTTTTTGGGTACAACAACAATCGGAGAACACCACTGGGTAGGTTGATCGACCTGTTCTATCACTCCCATTTGCTCCATTCGCTCGAGTTCCTCCTTCACTTGAGGTAGTAAAGGAATAGGAATACGCCTTGGTGTACAAAGATTAAACGGGGTAACTGAATCATCCAGCTTGATCTCGTAAACACTATCCACGCATCCTAACCCCTGAAACAAGCTAGGGAACATATTCTCATAATGCATACTGCTGTTCTTTGAGTCAACACCACAAATTCTAGCAATTGTCCCGAGCTGGCTACACGCACTTCTCCCCAACAAGGACTGCTCAAGACCAGGAACCACATAAATTTCGTTAGCACAGCATTGCAGGTTATGCGTAAGGGATGCTGTAAATGTATCTTTGCAGAACAGTGGTACTTTGCATGGGCCATACAATTTATTATCGGGTGAAGGAGCTACTATACTCCTGAATTGACAAAAGTCTTTTCTGATATGACAGAAACATCAGCCCCACTGTCAAGCTTGAAACTAACTGGGTCGCCATTTACCAGAATTTCAGCTCTCCAGGGATGTGCACGAATGCTGTCTCCACTGATCTCTCCAATAAACACACTGGTGTTTGGCTCTTCAGAAAACTGATCCTCGGTTACAACTTCTCCAACCTATTGGGACATGCATGACCTTTCTTGGAACATTTAAGACAAACATAATTAGCTGACATGTTTCGCCATTCTATAAGCTTTAAATTGATATATAGGTTTGGGAAATTTACTCTAAAACTGTGCGTTTGCGAGGCCTTTTCCGCAACTTAGTCACGAAGGTTTACAGTAACCTTAACTCAGGGAGAGAGTTAAATAAATGCATATTAGAAAGATCAGAATACAAAAAAACCTGTTATGACGGAATTGGAATCGATGCACCCTTGTTTTTGCAGAACACATAAAACCAACTGTGAATATAAAAGGGATGCTTCCGACAGAACTTATAAGTAAGCTTCGTTCACACGTTTAACCGTTTTACATAGTCTGCTGAACTTCCGAGTTAACTCTCCCTCGACCCCTTACATGTTAATAACTTTGATCATCTGAAATGGGTCTCGCAGTGTCGTACGTTTTTTGAGCGGTTATGTATGTCTCACAGTCTCGATCTCAATTTTTTTGCAAACCCGTTTTGGAGTCCCGATCTTGGTCTCGCAATCTAAAAACTCAAAAAGTCTCGGTCTCGTAATTTACAATTCGCCACCCCTAGTAGACAACTGCTAGGATCCAGGCAGCTACTTTTATGCTGTAGACTGATTCTAGTGTCAAGATAATCCAGTTCAGCGCTAGGATCAAATATAACCATTCACATGTAAACAGAACTGAGCCGAATATTAGATAGAGATAGGTTGTGATTCCAGTCGAAACAGGTTTATATCATGAGAAAAGTATTATTCAGTCAGTGACACAAGCTACTCGGAAACAAATTCCGAGTTCCCCCAACAGGAGTCGAACCTATGACATGCTATGACCTTCTGCACACCGGTCGGAAACTTTAATTTACCACTGAGCTACAGGAGACTCGTGGAAGGTTTAATAGGTCAATGACTAGGTTCAAATGTACATGTGACATACATCCCGTATACTGCTAGGATGATTCGATTTGTCGATGAGTAAGAATATATGGAAAGAAATGATGGTATATTGTTAAGCTGGGTAGAAATGCAATAGCTTTAAATCTGCGATAAAAAGAAAGGAGCGGAGAGAGAGAGGAAAATCAATAGTAAATGATATATTCATTTGTGC